CTATTCGTCATGCATCTGCTGATGCACGATAAAGTGCCATTGGCTTTTCTGATGGCTTCGTCACACTGTCGACTCATGTTCATCTTGGAGTCCACTAGGACTCCAAGGTCCCTTTCCACTTCCGTGCCACCCAGCAGGTCATTCCCTAGGCTGTAGGTGTGCCAGACATTTTTCCTCCCTAGGTGCAGCACTTTGCATTTCTCCTTGTTGAACTGCATTCTGTTGTTTTCTACCCATTTGTCCAACCTGTCCAGGTCTGCTTGTAGTTGTTCCCTGCCCTCCAGCATGTCCACTTCTCCCCATAGGTTTGTGTCATCTGCAAACTTGGACAGAGTACATTTCACTCCCTCGTCCAAGTCACTGATGAAGACATTAAAGAGTATCGGTCCAAGGACCAAGCCCTGCGGGACCCCACTGCCCACACCCTTCCAGGTCGAAACCGACCCATCTACCACGACTCTCTGGGTGCGACCCTCCAGCCAATTCGCCACCCACCGGACTGTGTAGTCATCCAAGTCACAGCCTCTTAACTTGTTCACCAGTATGGGGTGGGATACCGTATCGAAGGCCTTCCTGAAGTCCAAGTATATGACATCCACCCCTCCTCCTGTGTCCAGGCATTTCGTAACCTGGTCATAAAAAGAGACTAGATTGGTCAGGCACGACCTGCCTGCCACGAACCCGTGCTGGTTTCCCCTCAGCATAATTTGTCCTGCTGGGCTCTCACAAATGTCTGCTTGACTGCAGACTAATATGGCTAACTACACCTCTCTGCTCATAAATAGGGACAGGCAACATTAAGCCACTGATGTCTTGTTATCTGAATTACTGTACATAAGCTCCTACAAGGAATTGCTTTCCTGGAGCAAAGCATCCAGGGGCATAAGGAAGGCAGGAGCTTAGTGTACCACAATCCTAGCTAGCACAGAGCTCAGCAGCAGGCTGGTTAGTAACAACACTAAGACACAGGGATCACTCTAATTCTAAACAATCAAATGAAGACAGCAGTTAGGAGCAGTGACTAAGACAGGGACCATGTTAAGTGGCGTGGAACTCCTTTGCTTTCACATCTTGTGCAGAAGGGAAACGAACACATACCTAATGAGAATGCTCACTGGCACCCACCTTCAGCTGTGACTGGTAAAGAAATCTCCATGCAGGCTGCAGACTGGGCTTTTCTGAATGGGGGCCTCCCTGGTCCTCGGCGATTGGCCTTCGAGACATCTGCACTGGAGAGTCGCTTTCCTGACCCACAAGTCTGGGATGTTGGGCTCGTACAGTGCCCATTCACATGGTCTGTTGTAAAAATAAAAAGATTCAAGGAAGAGTGTCAGTTCTTGCCTTTAGAATGTAGGGGAGATGAAAAGGCTGATGCTCAGGAATAACTGAAGGTGAATCCTCCCACAGAAAGAAGCATTTGTTCTGCAAGTACATCACAGGAACCACTCACTGAGTGTGTCTACTTGAGATGCTTAACGCACAGCAGACTGACTGACCGCACATTACAGCGTCAAGGCAAAACCCATGCAATTAGGCTAATGCATAGTAGTATTACTCTCCTGAGCATTAACCTTCACGAAAAAAGCAATTGCACTAATGCGCAGTAGGGCAGCCTACTGCACATTTAATTTAGTACTTCCTTTTGCAAGTACTATATTTAATGTGCAGTAGCCACTGCACATTAATGAACGTGTAGACGCACCCATTGTTTCCTTAAAAGAGTGACTATTTTCTACATATAAAAGGTGGCAAACAATCAAAGTGTCAGCCAGTCAGGCCTGACTGACTCCTTCTGTGCATCATTTTTTCTCTGGTGTAACTCCACTGACTCGACTGAAATCCAAGAAGAGGATCAGACCCACTATTTCTAGATCAAACATTACTGTGGATATTAGCTGTGTATGCTGGAGAGTCTGAGTCCCTAAGTGGTCTCTTGATCTATGCAGATAGAGAGTTCATGGAGATATGAGTGGTAATGCTTACAGTGAGTGTCAGTGAGTGTTGTGACTTCTAATATGCATAGCATGATTTGGAAAACCAGCCTGCTTTTTTGTTTCCAAAAATAACTAAGGATTATAATTATAATATAATATTAATAATATTATAATTATACTGGGCAGAGTTCATTGGGGTTCCAAATGATTGCAGTTAGCTACCCCAGAAGCAGATACACATGTGCAAATGAGGCTAATAGCTACCTGCCATTATTTGAGGACATTTGGAACAGGCCACCATTTCTTCAAGTGGTATATTCTGTTTCTATCATATATGTTTATTTTGCTCGGCAATAGCTCATATACAATGCAATGCAACATAAACTCCTTCTTCACCTCATACTTCACGTAACAGGAACATTACTGAATGCTATTTCTGCCTCACGATGTCAGGATCTGAACTTAAATAAACATCCTTTAAGCTATCGTGAAAGGAGTACTCAAGTGTGAGACAACACAGACAATGTTAAATTAAATTGGAATTGGCATTTGTTGTAACTGAATCTTAAATGCGAACATCAGAGCTGAATGAGTAGTTCACAATGAATAATTTACATGCCAAATTCCACCTCCTTCTCTAAATTGTGAAATGCCTTTGCCCTATTTGTGAGTAAACAAATCAAAGCATTTTAAATGTGCACGCTATTTCAAACCATTCTAATTTTTTTCCCACTGAATAAGTATTTGTCTGTAGATCATTCACATTTAGTGCCAGGTACACAATTTATATAGTAACTTATATAAATAACATATAATGAACAAAATACAAATTCAGAATTTGGCAACATGTACAATAATCACAAATCATAACAATGTCAATCTCATACACAACTAAAGTCAGAACTGGACCTTTTAAAATTTTGATTATTCAAATAATACAATTAGACTTTTAGACATTATATAGAAACTTCAAATTCCTCTTCTTTTAATATTCCTAAAAAATGATAAACTTTATACTTGGATAAAATGATTTTGTATATACAAAATTTTCCTATGAGAACATTTTTAAGATTGCAAAATCAAACACCCAAAAGTTAGTAAATGGATACATTAAGGCTCTCTATGAAACCTTAATTTGGCTTATTTGTACATGTGCCTTATGATAGTCTTGACATAGAGGATCACACATTATTTTCCCACAGAAAGACTTTCTAAGCCAGTGATTCTCAACCAGGGCGCCATGAAATCCTTTCAAGGTTGTTGCAGGCTGCTGCATAATATTGGCACTGCTAGGTTTTCAAACACTTACACATAAGCCCTGGGACTTCATATAGGTTTTTTTTTAAACATTGGTCAAAAATTCTGATGTGTTGTGAAGTCTTGGAGCTCTCCAAAACAGAATTGCTTTATTATTTTTCTGTAGTCAAAAACTGAGTGAAAGCTATGAGCTGGCATTTTCTGAGGGGACCCTCAAGTCTAACAATTTTGAGAACCACTGGCCTAAGCCAGTCAGTCCCGGTCTCTCCTCTCTCTCCTAGGTCTCACTTCAATTCTCTGCTCAATCAGTCCCAGTCTACCTTCCCTCTTGTGGCTCCCAATCTTTTTCTCCAATGCCCATTTGCAGTTTCCTTGCCCAACCACTCCCAAATTTTCCCAAACCAGCATCTAGTAGCAGTTTTTCTCTTCCCCTTCCAGCTCCCATTTCACAAGACCCATTGTCCCAGTCTATTCCTTTGCCTTCTCCCTGGTCTTCTGTATTTGAATCAAACTGCTTCCTTTTGCAGGCAGACAAGGCAATGAGAGTGCAGGATAAGCAAGTGCCCCCACTCCCAGCCTCCAAGTCAGCAGCGCTGCTGCAGGCAGAGGTAGGCACGCAGGGGTACAGCATGGGTGACTGGTACCTCTTGAGTCAAGGAGGGCACGTGCCCCCCCGACACCAGGCAGCGACCGGGGGGGGGCAGCCGATACTACTGGCTGGGGGGGAGGGGGCCGTGGCTGATCTCACTCAGCAAAAAGCAGCCACACTGCTTCTGGAAGTCCCACAGCCCCTTCCGGAAATGGTGCTGTCACTTTTGCTGGCAGCCCCGCTCCCTGGTCAGCACTTGCAGGGGGGGCACTGGTGCTTCCGCCTGCCCCCGTGCCCTCTGGCTAAACAGGGAGCGCGGCCTGACAGGGGGTGCACCAGCTCTCAGGGGGTGCACATGCACCCCCGTGCACCCCCTACACATTGCTACTGGGGCACAGGGTGCAGTCTGGTGGGCAGGCAGAACAGCATGGTGTGTCAGGCAGATGGGCAGGCAGGCACCAAGGCAGCACTGCTGCCACCGCACTGGCTGGTCCTGCTCTTCCTGAGCAGTGGCTGGAGGCAGGGGTTGGGTTGGGCTGGACACTACTTCTGCATGGGGTGGACATCTCCTGAATCAGGGTGTGGGGAAAGCACTGCTGTAAGCCCAGGTTGCTCGCTCACATGCGTGCGTGCGTGCGTGGTGCCCCTCTGACCACAGTGCCCTGGGCAGTTGCCCATGTTGCCACCCCCAAGGCTGGCTATGCACATCCCTTACACAACAGCCATCTCATCTCTCTGCCAAATTTCAAGTCTCTGCTCCAACATATTGGAGTTCTATGGCAGTGTTTCTTAACCCATGGGTCATGACCCAAAAGTGGGTCGCAAGAATATATGAAAGGGTCATGAACAGACTTTAAAAATGGATTATTCTTTAAAGGAGAAAAATGTGGGAAATTGTGGCTTTTCTCTTGCAGGCTGGCAGAGGTTCAGCCCTAGAGGGGCTGCTTGGGGCCCCCCACACCCCCCATATACCTCCCCAGCTCACACAGCCACCCCAGCCCCACACACTGCAGGGGTGGGGCCTGGAGCAGCGGTTTGGGAGCAAGGGGCACTGGGTCAGAACTGGTTATCAATGTTTACAAATGGGTCCTGGTACAAAAAAGGTTGAGAACCACTGTTTTGTGGCATTTCAGAGAAGAGGTTTCAAGAATTTTTTTCAAGTGGATAAAACTATACATTTTTCTTTAGCCTAATTCTTAGAAACAGCCAAACCATTTTTGGCTGAGTTTTTTTTTTTTAAAAGAAATCCACCTGAGGAAGACATGCAGCATGAACAATTTCAACCAAACCAGTTTGTGTGGCAAGATTATAAGCAAAAGAAAAAGGGGACCTAGGAAGGGTCAGACAATCTCAAGGACTAAGTTTTGAAACGTTTCTAAGTGAAATAGGTTTGGAAATATTTCAAAATGAAGTTGTTTCAGCTGGGGGACATACCTCCAGTTCCTGTGGCACCCATCTCCCCACTTCTTCCTTGCATCCTGCTTGAACCGCTTAATTGCAGTGGCTGCATAGAACTGCAGGTCTTCAGCTAGGGGGTGCTACAAGGGGTGGAGGATATTTTTTGGATGGGTGGAGGGGGTTGGGGGTAGCAGAGCTTCCCTGGCTCCCCATAATCAGGTTTCAGGATTCTCTTTCACCAGAACAGTGAGGTAGAGGGGTGAAGTGCCCTGCAGGAGCTGGTGTTGTCATGAAGGCTTTGGCTTCCACAATCACAGTCCGCTCTTTGGTGAGAGAGGCAGCAGTCTGCTGGGAAGAGATGGCCTCCACCTCACTTCACCAGGGAGGAAGCTTTTCTCAGTCAGAATGGCTGACCTGCTTGACCGGGCTTTAAACTAAGCTCACCGGGGGATGGGTGGACAACCACCAAAGCAAGCCTGCCAGGCAATACCTACAAAACCAACAGGTTAGGCCACTGAAGGGATTCCACTCCTACCCCAGCCCTGGAACAGTGTCCTCTGGGGAATGTGAGGAAGCCTAGGGCTCCCAATGGGATGCTTACGTGTCTGTACACCAATGCCAGGAGCTTGGGGAACAAACAGGAGGAACCGGTCCTCCTACTAAACAAGAAAGACTATGATCTCATAGGGATAATGAATACCTGGTGGGACTCCCCCTATGACTAGGCCACAGGTGTAGACAGCTATACCTTGTATAGGAGAGATCGTGCAGATAAAAGGGGTGGGGGTGTAGCTCTCTATGTTAAGGATAACTACACATCCCTGCAACCTGACATTGGTACCCAGGGAGGGTGACTAGAGACCCTCTGGGTTAAAATACGTGGGGAACATGGCACAGGGGACACAATGGTAGGAGTCTGTTATAGACCTCCTAACCAGGAACAAGAGATTGACCAGGAATTCTCCAGGGAACTGGCTGAGGCTACATGCTCTCAGTGCATGGTTGTCATGGGAGACTTCAACTACCCAGACATCTTGAGGGAAGAGCACTCGGCCGAATCCAAAGTCACAAAGCTTCCTCACGTGCGTGGATGAACTCTACATGACCCAAGAAGTCTA